TTTATTAGTCTTATCAATATTAGTCTTTTTTGTTTTGTTTCATTTATATATATATATATATATATATATATATATATATATATAAAACATTATTTTTTGTGGATACTCTAATTTGCGAAAACACTCCATGTATTTATTAAACAGTATATTTATTTTTGTTTACTGGCCTGAATATTCAAGAAATCTTATTAGAAAAAATATGTGCCCTTTCTCTAATAAGATTTTTCAGATATTCAGGTCAATAGACAAAGATAAATATACTGTTTAATAATTATATGGAGCAGCTACCCATATACAAATATTCACTAAAAATAATATTTAGGTAATAAAATCTGTCAGATTAATAAAAAAAAAAATTCATTGCTTTTTTTTTTTTTTTTTTTTTAGAAATATATAGAATCGTTTCATCTTAAGCAGTACCATTAAGACTCAAGAGGTTACTGGGAGTGAAAAAGAATAAGACTTTAGTAAGGAGAGAGAACAATAAAAGAACAGAATTCAGGAAAACAGAAGATGGCAATTAACATTGCATTTAAATTTTTTAGGATTGTAGGTGGGTGGGAAGCAAGAAACAGGAAAAGTTCCATAGTTAAGAAGTGTGAGAAAAGAAATTATTAGAATAGAATTTATGCTTATGTCTAGCTAGTTCAATAGTAAAACAGTCAGACCTAGTTGCTAATCTAGTAATATTCTTAAATTCATGTTGTCAATGTATTGAGGAAGAAAGCTCATCAGAACTATTTTCATGAAAATATTTATAGAAAAACAGTGGTAAGCCATGTCACAGTGTTAGGCATGTGTCTGAAGCTGAGGTGCCAGGTTAGGATTGATAACATTGTGGACTCTTCTTTGGGTTTTGTTGAGAATCTTGAGATCTATATCGCTGGAGTGCCAGACCAGATATGGCAGCAATGATGCAGTATATTTAGACAGAAACTTTTTTTCATCTAGAATCATGTCCAAACATCTGCTGCGAATTCAGTCCTATTTTTGACAGGGCCCCAAATGGACAAAATCGTGTCAAATTGGATATATTTGTTTACTAAAGAAATAATATCTATCTGATAGTATATTGCAAGAAAGGAAAATAAATCTTTTTTTATAATGTTTTGCGAAGTCCTGTACAGTTTTATGCTTTTTTTCAGATTTCTTTGAGTTTAGAAATCTACATTAGTTTGGAAGTCATTCAAAAGTAAAGATATTATTTAATATGCAATAAAAAAAATATAAAATGATGCATAATTTCAAAATAGAAATCATCAAAATCAATCTTTTATTGAAATGAAATTAATGACTGTTTCACAATAAACATGTTTAAACTAATTTATGCATGTATTCATAATGCTAACTGTTGTAACTTAGGAAAGGTTACTGAATAGAATAATCACATGAAGGTTGGTAATGATAATGCTTAAGACAAGAACAACACCTATAAGATTTGCCAGTGGTGCATAGTAGTTGTCAACTGCTAGAAGTAAGTCAAGTGAATTCCACAATCAATTTCCAATTGCAGACTGCAGACCAACACCTACAGTATTCACTAATGTATTTATAAAAAAGGGGGCATACTCATTATTGTTTGTAGATATGCTACAACACTAATGAATCACAAAAGTAAAAAAAAAAAGTCTATTTTTGATTTGTTTGTTTTGTTTTTTTTAAATTATTTTCTCTTCTTTTTTTACAAGTTTTGGTCATTTTTCTCTGCTCTAAAAATTCGGTACATTTTATACATGAAAATAAGCATTTTTTTTTTTTTTTTCATGGAATTTCTCTGCTTTTTTTTAACTGTGTCTTAATGATTTATCCACAAAGGATTGCAGTATTTCAGCCAAATAGATTTCATTAGATTCAACCAACAAAGTCTGTTTGTTTAATACAACTTAATGTATTTTTGAATAAGTTGTATATCAGGATCAAAATTGTTTCTAAACTTTCCAAAATTCATGTCCATTCTGCTGTTTTTTGCCACACACTTTCTCTCTCTCTCTCCATTCATCTGCGAACATTTTTATGTTTGGTGATTTTAATGCACATCATATCAAGTGGCTTACACATTCTTATGTTACTAATTGTTGTAACCTAGGGAAGGTTACTGAATAGAATAATCAAACAATGTTTGGTAATGCATGATAATACTTAGGACAAGAACAACACATATAAGATTCACCAGTGGCACGTAGAAGTAGTAGTTAACTGCTAGAAATGAGTCGAGTGAATTACACAATGAATCTCCACCTGCAGACCAACATACAGTATTTACTACTGTATTTATGTGAATGGCGACATACCCATTATCGTCTGTAGGTATGCTACAACACTAATCTAACATTGATGGTAATCAAACTTTCAATTTTTCCATTGCTCGGTCAAATAGATTTCCCTAATAATTCTGATCAACATTCTTTTTTACTTGATTTTTTTTCTTAACCTCCTCTCCTAGCCCTTGTCGAGCATCATGATTCTGTCCTCTTATTAATTTGGATCACACTGTAGTATCTGTTGATATTTCTTTTGAGTCATCTATTAGAAAGGAACCTTCTATTCACAAGACTTCTGTCTGTTACCAGGGTACTGATTGGAAATCATTTTCTGACTATCTTCAAGATGTCCCTTAGATTGATATTCATAAGCTTCCTATTGAGAATTGTGCCATAGAGGTTTCTTCTTGGGTTAAAGCTGCAGAAATATCAGCTGAAAGCACAATCTTCTCTTTGGTTCACACCTACCTGTTTAGCCACTATGTCCCATTTTTTCCATGTGTTATAGTCCTGATCACAACAGACACCTGTGCCTGCTCATAATAAATATAAGCATGTGCTTAAAGAGGCTAAGTCTTTGTTTGCTGATAGAATGAGGCAATGTATGGCCTCTAACAAACATGGTTCTTGTAACTACTGGCAGCTCTGTAATAGTATGTCAAATAAGAGTACATTTTCTATTCCTCCTCTCTTCACTCAATTTGAGGTGCTAACAACTTCTGTTGATGAAGCAGAATGTTTTGCTCGTAAATTCTCTTCAAATTTTACTCTTGACTCATCTAGAGTGTCTTTGCCCAACATTTCACTTAGAACTGAGTCTGTATTGAGTGATATGCATATAACTCCATCTGTGATTTCTGCTATCATATTTAAACTGGATTCCCACAAAGCATGTGGTCTTGATGGTATCCTGTAATAGTGCTGAAGAAATATGCTTCAGAATTGTCTCCTGTTTTCTCTAAATTCTACAATAAATGCTTTGCTGCTTCTTGCTTTCTTGCTTGTTGGAAATCCTCTTCTGTAGTTTCAGTTTTTAAGAACTCTGGCAAACTGCCTGATCCTTATATCAGCCTATTAGCCTTCTACCTCTTTTTAGCAAAGTACAAAATGCTCTAATCAACTCTGAATTGGTTAAGCATCTTACCTTGCAGGGTCTTTTTTCAGATAAGCAATATGGCATTTAGGTCAACTACTGATGTGTTAATGATTATTTCTGAAAGACTATCAACTTTTACATAAAAATGCTGAAGCTTGAGTTGTTGCTTTAGATATCTTAAAGGCATTTGACAGGATTTGGTACACTGGTCTTCTTTACAAGTTGAAAAGTTATGTTTCTGGAAAAAAAATTTGATCGGATTCAATCTTATCAAATCACAAAATAAAAGGTGTCTTTAACAGTTACTCTTCTAGAGCTTTTTTGCATTAATACAGGTGTACACCAGGGCTCTATCCTTGGACCTATGTTGTTGCTAATTTTCATCAATGACCTTCTGGATGTCATCAGTTCTCAACTCTGTATTTATACTGATGATACAATTATTTATTCCTGTCTTAATAGTGAGTCTGATCGGTTCAAGAAGTTCAGATTGGCAGCTGATCTCAAAATGACCTACAAATTAGAGCAAGGAATGGCTTGTTAATTTTAATGCCTCCAAAATGAAACTGCTCTCTTTCAATCATATAAGATCATTTTTGTTTTCTATCAGCATGGCAGATGCTAACCTCCAGGAAAGTGACTCATTGCACCAACAAACAAATTAGAAGCATAATGAGAAAATGTTTAATATTAGAATTTTCAGACAGAAAAAAAGGAGATGAAAGTATGAAACAGTCCAAAATGATGGTTAAAGATAGTGAGACAACATCAAAAAGAATGCATCAAATATTTAAAAATATGGTTCCATCGCTACACAGGAATTACAATGTTTCAAAAACAGAAACTAAAAACTTCAAATTTAGTTATAGAATTAAATTTAAATCCCTAGTACTGTATCATTTTCAAGCAAATTTTTGAAAAGATTTGCTTGAAAATGAAACAGTATTAGGATTTTAATTTAATTCTATAATTAAATTTGAAGTGTTTAATTTCTGTTTTTGAAACATTGTAATTCCTGTGTACTTGTGAACCAATTCAATTAGTAAATTAATTATATATATATATATATATATATATATATATATATATATATATATATATATATATATATATATATGACAGTGTGGGAGTATTTGGGTAGAATTGTTTCGTTTATCAGTTTCGTTAAAGACTTGTTTTGTTAAAGATTTAAAAGTTCTTAGAATCTGACTTTAAATAAACCGCATAGAAAATGAATCTATCCTCAGTCAATGAAATGCTGATTAGCCACACAAGCATGTCTTTTAGATTTATTTACATTATAAATGTATAGAAACTACCGTGGCCACAAAGTGATGGGCCAGTTAAAATATTGATGTCATGTATAATTGATCCTCCACTTCATATCCACATTATAATTTTTTGTTTATCAAATTGTGAGTAGGTATGAATTCACTTCTTCTTTCCCCTAGCTGTATTACTAAGACTTGTATCATTAATCATTATTATCTTCAAAAAAATTCTTACAATCTAAAAAATATTTTCTGGCTTTAAATAAAAGGTCAATAAACTGTAGAAAATGAATCGATCCAAATTCAAGGTCATAAAATCCTAATGAAAATGATTTAAAATTTGAAAAACTTATATTTAATTCTTCCTTATGCAAAAATCTTTGCTAGATTTAATATTAATATCTTTTACAGCCGTTTTCTTCACCAATTCTTTAAACTTTATGATTTTCCTTTTTTTCTCCCATGCGTTTTTGTTATATTTTATCATGTATCTTCATGTAGCATAATAGAAATAATGATTGACTGCTCATTTCTAAGCACTCCTGTCTGCTGGGGTGACATATTTGTTTCCCCACAGAGACAACCTGCTGTTTTTACTTCAGTTATGCTGAGCAAGCCTACAGTTTATCAGAGAGCATGCATGATTAGTAGTTTGTAGCGTAAGCGGAAGTTAACTGTTTGGAATCAAATGATAAAAATAAACCACCGCACAAAGGCTCCACACAGCCTTCTGGTTTCAAACATATTTCAGATTTTTAAATTAAGGAAAATAAGAATAGCCAATAAAATCAGCTCCCGCCAATAAATAAATATAGGCTTCTGGAGCTTACATGAAACCATATAAACCAGACATCCATTCAACCCAGCAGAAAGACTTACAGCAGTAAAGAGACATGAGTCAACCTTGTCATCCTGTCTTTCTCACCCAAGCAACAGCAGACTGTTTGATCATGTTCCCCAACACCACCACCCCTCTACCTCACTGAAAGAGCATTTATGTTAATTTCCTTTTCTGTCAGAGAGAAGAAATTTCCTAAATACAAACTTTTATTTTGTGATAGTAATTACAGTTAAGAAATTGTGTATTTTATGTTAGATAAATATTGTTCATTTATTTGAACATGCAACAACATGCATAGAATCTTTGCCCAGCAAGTTGAATATATCCAGTATGCTCAAGCCCTCGGTCACAATGACTTTTTACTGTTACGTTCTCAACTATGGGCCCCAAACTGGGGTCGAAACATTATGAAAGTATAAAAATAAGTTTTTATAGTAAAAGTAACAGCGATACGTTTTTGAAAAAAAATAAAATTATTACCAGCAATAAATTTTTGAAAAAAAAATATTACTGACAATACATTTGACTCTCCACAAAAACTATCTTTACAAAAATATGTCAATGAAATCTAATCTACAAACTGATTTCTTAGAATACAAATTTTATTCCTACAAACCTATCCTAAAAATCTTGTTTGTATTGAATAACCCAATGAGGTTAAACGGATGTAAAGCAAAATCAAACCTAAAAATGCTGCACACAGGGATTATCTCCCCAAATCAATATTATAAAGAAGTTACCTCCTTGACAAATTGACCATAGTGAGATTTGTAAACAAGTGGGACAGCACTCCTAACAATTACGGTACACCACAATAACATACAATATGTAACAGTACTATCAAAAACTACCTGGTATTATGTGTAATCTATGATATAAATATTTTTTAGGAGCTGACTTTAATGTGTTTATCAGTACACCTGGAGGATTTTAAATGTTTGCTAAGTTACACCGATACAATATGTGGTACCTACTTGTGTGTGTGTTTTGTAGGTGGTTTGCATGCATATAGAAAGATATTACAGTTAGTGTTTCCATATACAAGTAAGTAGTGTGACCTTATGTAGTTTTGGCACAGGTTATTGTATACTGTAACCTAACTTCATTTTCCACAACTGGTAGCCTACCGTATGTTAAGGAGTCTACCTATATAGTAGGTACAGGCCTAACTTGGAATTTTGAGCTAAAAATTGGGAGGTTGATTTGTAGTCAGCAATTTACAGTAACTAGTTTTATTTATTTTTCTCCCTCCAGTTACGGTTTACACATCCAAGAAATTTGGATCTGACTCCACAGGCGATGGAAGTGAAGAAAAACCCTTTGAATCAATTCTTCAGGTAAGTAATCTATCTTTAAAAAAAGTTTTTTTATTTAAAAAAAAAATTTTAAAAAATTGGTAAATAAATTTTTATATTGGCAATTATTTCTGAATCTTTTATTCTTGTCAAAATTATGTTCCTTCAGGAACTGGTGAACACAGCTCTTTACAAATCCTTTTTCTTTAATTTCTGTAAATTGTTATGCCTTCTTGGGGAATATAGTGGGTTCTCAGTCTTCTCCACAGTTTTGAATTTAGAATTGTCCTTCTCCTAAATTGGTTATCACCGAAGATTGAAGAATTAAGTCTATTCTGCTATTTAACCAAGAACTAAAGGGAGGAGTGATGAATTCATGTCCTCCCACTACCAAATGTATTGATGTGAAGTGAACACAACAAACTTTGTTGGAATTTGAACTTGACTTGCTAATTACACTTACACTAATCACACATCCATCTCTGAATCTTAGTCAAGCAAAATAGTGATTAAAAATACTAATGATTATAGTCAAGACACTAATGTCAGTTTGATTACAAAAGATTAAAAATGAAATGATAATTTTTTTTTTTTTAAAATCCTTTCACCTCAAGCAAGGCAATAAGATACAAGGTTACTGAGTAAGAGAATATGAGAAAAAAAACACTATTAAGAAAAAGAACAGTAATTAAAAAGATAGAAGATAATGACTGCATTTAAATTTTTGAAGCACAATGTTAACTAGGAAGCAAGAAGCTAGAAGAAAGTTCCACTAACAAAAAGTGCGATAGAAGAAGCTGTTAGCATATAACTTAGTTACATCTAGCCATTTCAACTGCAAAATGATGAGACCTAGCTGCCAATCTAGTATTTTGCTTAAATTCATAAAATTTAGGTACCATATAGCGGAAAGTTCATCAGAACATGAAAGTATTTATAGAAAAGGTGCAGTGCAGTGGGAAAGTGACTGAAGCCAAGATGCCAGATCAGGATCAATTACATTGTAGATTCTTTGGATTTTATCAAAAATCTCTAAATATATAGCAGGAGCACCAGATCAGATGTGGCAGCAATATTCAAAGCAAGGATGAATGGTAGACCTATAAATATGTAAGATAGATTCTGACAATAAAAATTGTCTAGGTTGGCACAGTTAACCAAATTTCCTAGCTGCAGACATAGTAATTGATTCAACAGCCTTTCCACTTCATGTCAGTGGAAAACGTTAGTCCAAGAAAGTGCAATAAGACTTATTTTATATATAGAAGATATTATCTGATAGGTTAATAGTTTACACAGACACCACAGACTAGCAATACTAGTCTAACTCCATAATAATGTAATGTTGTAAATGGAGAAGAGTTTGTATGCTATCAAATATGTTAAATACAGTATAAATTATACAATTCTCTAAAAAATAAAAAAATTGTATCTTTGTATGTTTATTTTGTTAAAAGGAATTATTCTGCATAGAGAACAAAAATGTGATGCAAGGTCCTTTTTTTTATGTGGATTTACATCCCATGTAGTTCAGTGTATTAAATCGTATCTCAGATATCGGGGCATATTCCTGATCCTACTCCTGTCTTGTACATTGAATAAGTGCTTTCCAGAGTAGATTTCCATGAAGAGTGGTCTATTCTTGTAACTATTATTGCTGATGATGATCAGTGCTGTTGTCATTGATGATGATGATTGGTGTCAATGATGATGATGATCAGCATCATAGATCTTATTGATGATAGTGCTGAATTACTATATTTGATGACATGAAATCTGCTACCTTTTTATCAAGCAATACAAATAAAAAATATAATAATAATAACAGCTTTTTCCAGTGGGTCCTTTTAATTCTCCCAAACAAGAAGACCTTATCTTTTTGCCTGGGGTTTTATGACCATATCATGTTAAAACATTCCTTTTCTCACAATCACTAAAGTTAAGAAACATTGGGTATGGTCAGTACCTCAATGAATGATTGCCAGGTGTTCTAATCTTTCGCATGTGGGTGGTGTAATGGATAATGGCTCAGAATTGAGCAATTCCACTTGTGTTTATTATATTCATTTGCTCACAAATACCCTTGGAAAATTATGATTCTACCTCTTCTCCACACCAACTATGGGTTAATTAGTAGGATTTGTATCAGTAAATCATTATCTCCCCTAAAAATTCTCACAATTTAAAAATATTTCTCGCTTTAAATTACCTGCAAAAACAAATTACTCAAACAATCCAAGATGAGTGAGTTTAATACTAATCCCTGATTTATATGATGTAAATCTGACAATGTCTTCCTCATTTAAAATGCTGGCTACATTAATGATGATATCAGGAACAGGTTTGTTTTGTTATATAAAACATTGGCAAGTTAAAATGAAAATGTCTTACTTTTATTGGCCTCCTATTAAAATCTAATTTTTCATTCTTGCTTTCAGGCAATGCGACAATTCAAGATTGATCCAATGCCAGAGATCATGGTTGATGGCAAATCTGAAGAGATGGTAAAGTTTTTAAAGTTTTATTTTCCACACACTCGGTAGATACAAGTTAATTTTTTTTCAGTTAATTGTTCATCTATTTAGGTCTGAAATACAGTATGACATTTCACTTGAAAAAAGATATTATTGATGATGACAATGATGATCTGTGTTACTGACGATAATGATCAGTGCTGCTATTGATGAGGGTGATGATGATCAGCACTGTGGCTGTTATTGCTTAGGGTGATGATGATCAGCACTGTGGCTGTTATTGCTTAGGGTGATGATGATCAGCACTGTGGCTGTTATTGCTTAGGGTTGATGATTAGGGTGATGATGATCAGATGATCAACTGTGTGGCTGTTATTGCTTAGGGTGATGATGATGTGGCTGTTAGCACTGATGATCAGTGGCTGTTATTGCTTAGGGTGATGATGATCAGCACTGTGGCTGTTATTGATTAGGGTGATGATCAGCATTGTAGCTGCTATTGTTGATGATGATCAGTGCTGTTATTAATGACAATAATGATCAGCATTGTAGCTGTTATTGATGACTATTAGCATTGTAGATCTTTATCATAATGATCAGTACAATTATTATCGATAATGAGGATAATGATGATAATAAAAATTCTTATTGAAGATGATGAATATTGCAGTTATCGATGCTGCTGATGATCAGCGCTTCTAATTGATGATGTGTTGTTGTAATTATAATTTGTTTTTGGCTATCACAGAAATGGGAACCAGCTGCTAAGACACAAGTAAAGAAGAATTTGAAATCGTATGAAAGGGAACTTCACAAATCTAAGGATGCAGAAAAGAGAGAGGTGAGTGAACATTTAATATATATTTTTTTTTTTAATAATTACTATATTTGATTGCATATAAGACGCACTTTTTTTTTTTTTTTTTTTTTACTAAAAATATCTTGTAAAATTCCCCTGCATCTTATATGCCATATATAGGTTTAAAATTCATGATAGTTGGCTGAAATTAGCTACTTGGCAACTCCTATTAGCTTAGACATTAGAGTAACTTTCATATACCTATTGCCATTATTTAAAAGGCTATTATGCATATTTAAAATGTTATCATTGATAATATTCATTATATTAATTTCATCATGTTTAATATTAGTACTTTGTTTCACTAAAGTTATATGCAGTAAATTCAAATTAGATATTTGTAAAATATATTTGTTTCATCAATATTTTTCTTGCGATAACTCCCTAATCTAATATCCTAATTATTCCACTAAGACTTTTACAAGACGTAGGTTGTACAGATCAGATAAAGGAAAAGGTTTGACTGAATTTTAATGGTAACTGCTGTTTTGCTCAATTGTAATAATTGCTTGATTGTTATTTTGTTTTCTTAACTTTCAATATAATAAAGTTTTTATAGGCTCGTGTTCTTGTTTTTTTTTAATTTTTTGTTTAATTGTAATCATGGCTTGTTTAACCAAAGTAATACCTCATAAATATAGCCTAGGCTGTACTGTTTGCTAATAATTTTACTAATTACTAATTTTTTCTTGATTTGTTCTGCTGAAATTGGGGTATGTCTTATATGTCGTCGAATATGATAGTTATTTAGTATATCATTACATATTATTCTCATCAAACTTTCACATTTTTTTTTAAGTTCAGTGCACTGCATTATTAATATTACTTCTTTTTCCACTGCATTCTTTTTCAAAGCCTCTCAATTGCAGTATCCTTATTGTTAATTTTGCTCAAAGTTGTTTTGTGTTGCCATAGCAGGATATGACAACGCAACTAAGAAATTCAAATTCAGGAATCATTCACCTTCAGTGGCAGGATAAATTTTTTGTATAGCAAGTGAAGTGACAGAGTGATAAAGGTTAATAAACATAATTTCTTTTGAAGGGATTTGTTTTTTTGTTTTTTTTATCTAATCTTCCTGCTATTTGTTTAATTCTTTTATTTAAAAAAAAAAAAATAAATAAATCAGTCCTATATCTTTCATTCTTTAATTAATAGTAATTAACAAATTTTTGAAATGTTAATATTTAGTTTTAAATTGTAACACATTTTAGAAAGTAAATGTACTTTATTATTTAGTCAAAATAATTATTACTTATTACCAAAAGCCCTTGTTTTCTTTATGAGCAGCTGACTTCTAATATGCTGTTAATTATATACTTCAGCTAGAAGGCAAACAAGGATTTTCATGCCGGCAAAAAAACAAAACAGTGTTAAGAGGATGTTTTTTTTTTTTCCCATGACACTGCTTTTATTTTAACTACCTTCACTCCTTGACAATGTTTATTGTTTTGAAAAACAATTATTAGAAATGCAATAAAATCTAAACAAATGATGAAAATGAATACATTTTTTTTTGTTGTTGAGAAATTACAACAAAAATATTAAACACTATTAGAGTGTTTAATTACAAGAATAATTTTATATTTACAATATTGTAAAAATGAATACAATTGTATTCACACTAATGAAATATTTATCATTTACCAATTCGCAAAGAAATAAATATGAAAACAGTTTTTTTATTAATAAATTTATAAACATTTACTAAATTATTAAAATTATTGAAACAACTATAATAAAACATTTACTAAATTATTGAAACAACTATAAGGAATTATTATTTAGTATTTTAAAAAGTTTGAATCGATTGGCAATAAGCCAACGTTTTACAAACCATTCCAATGAACAATATAAAATAGTGTAAATAAACAATCTAATAAATAAATAGTGTTTATTATTTTTGTTGTTAATTCTCAACAACAAAATGTATAAATTCACTTTCATCATATGTTAAGTTTTTATTAAAGTTCTAATCATTGCTTTTTAAATTTTAAAACAATAAACATTGCTGGGGAGTGAAGGTAGTTAAAATAAGTGTCAATGGAAAAACCATTCTTTTGAACCTTTTTTTTTTTTTTCTTTGCAGGCACAAAGGTATAAGTTTGCACACTTTTTTTTTCACAAGAGTAATTCCCTTTTAAAAGGAATTGATTTCATTTGCTATTTTCAAGTAGTTTTCCTCTAAAGTTTTGAGTTGGAAATTTATGATTTAAATCTTTTTTTTTTTTTTTTTTTTTCAAATTTTGAAAGAAAGAAAAAAAAGGCAGGATTTTAGAAAGGTTTAAAAACATTGTAAAATGAAACCTGTACAACAGGTCATTAGATTTGTTTGTGATTTATAAAACACACAGAACAATTGATTTGAAAGAGAATCTTTTTATTATTACAGTATAGCTCCTTAAAGTACTTCTACAAGAAGTCATTGACATTATCTTATTAAGCATGATGTGGTACAATTAATGTAATGGTTATTGTTGTGGAATGTAGAATCAGCCAGCTGAGTTCAAATTGCACCTTAGTCTGTTGCATTCACTTTCATACTAGTGCACTTAAAAAAGGCATGAATCATCTCTTTTCCCTGTCAGTTACAGGTAAAATAGCTGGGTAGACTGGGGTGCGAATACTGTGATGGTAACAGGTTCAAGTTGGAAATTGGCACACAAAGTTCAAATTCCAGTTGAGTTTTTGCATTCATTTTCATACAAATACTCTTGAGGAATATCTGAATCCATCTCTTTCCCCTGTCTTAGTAGTGCAGACTGTGCTCTTCCTTGGTTGGCAACCAGTCTAGGAGAATGAAAACTCTGAGTTCCTAATGCTGGGTACATGGAACTCATTGGCATGGGAACACATGGTTGTCTTAGGGGAGGACCCACCCCCCTCCTCCAACAGAAAACCTTCCCTTCCCCAGAGCTTGAGTGTGGGGTTAGTCATCCCTACCCCTTGGAAAAATTTGATTACAGAAACCACATCATAGGCCTTAGGTGGCACAAGGTAACAGGCAGAGAGCTATAGACTGGGTGGCAACCACTCTAAGAGAAGGAAAACTCTGTATAGCAAACCATAACATATTTCCCAAGGATGCATGGCAGTTCACAGATAATAAAGAAAAGGAATCTGTGAAGAGCTGTGATTGTCTATGTCTTGAAGGCAGGAGCATAGCATTTAAAAAAAAAAAAAAAATCGGTTACATATTTTAAATTGTGAAAGTGTTCCCTTTTAAAACTGATTTTATATTGCCATTATGTTTATTTTTTTTATAATCTCAGGCTGAAGACCAAGAAAGACGAGACAAAAACCTTGAAGATGCTAAGAAGATTATCATTGAGCAGGATATGTCTTTACCTACCCCAAAGCAGGTTTGTATGTTCTCTGGCTTACATCAGATAGAATTAAAAATGCAATCTTAACACTTTGGCCAGGTCAGGCTTATGCCTGCAGCTGCTGCTGCTAACATGTAATTCTGTACAACCTGCCACATGAATGAATGGTTGGTGTCTAAACCAGTCCCTCCATTAGCTTTTCTGCTGGTGAGGAGGGTGGCATGTCATTCTACAGGATGAAAAACAAGATCTGTCAAAGGACAGATTATCTTTTCATACGAGATAATAGTCAACATGTATCAGATTAATACATATATGAAATTTGTCACTTAGCTGATAGATGTTATATTCAGCACCCCGACTCTAGAGTTTTGTAGATGGACCTTTTAGTAATTACTCCGTCCACCCTCAGGAGATATCCAGTAAATCTAAACAAAATGAAAATTATTTTCATAAATTTCAGATCAAAATGCGGGATGCTGTGCAGACACGTGATGTTCGAGTGAAGATCTTTGGCTGGGTTCACCGATTACGGAGACAAGGTCAGTTCATATTGTTTGGAATACAATCATGAAAGATATCTTGAATAACAAAAAAAAAAAAATGGGGGACTTAAAAATTTGGATATATAGCCCTGTTTCTATTAGGTTGGTGCAAAAATAATGATAATAATAATGTCGTTTTTTGACATTAAAAATACGTCAAAAAAACGACATTATTACGTCATTATTTTTGCACCAACCTAATACTTGGCCCAATGAGAAACTTATTTGTTTTTCCATCTGTTAATATCCAAAGTTTTATCATGTCTCATATTGCTTGATGTGAAATTTAAAGTATTGTATTTGATTGTATAAATGCACAATTGATCTACCCCTCCCAATTTCAGCAGGGCATATTCAGGAATAAAGGTTTGGGTGTACGATAATTCATTAAGAAGAAGAATGAGAATAAGAATTAGAAGAAGGAGAATGAGAAGAATTTCAAACTTAGTGGAAGTGGGCCATCTGAGGTAGAATTATTGCCTAGTATAGTGAGTTTTATGAATAAAATTATCAACTTTGCATATGAGACACAATGGGACACTTTGATGTGGTGTGGTTACGCGTATTATACATACATGCCTCATGAATGTGTGGATGATACCGTATGTGTACGTACGTAAGTGTATATGTTTGCAACTCGTATGTATGGGTATATGTGCTTCGTTTTTGTTTGGTGTGTGTGTGGTTCATTTGTGGAACAATTTTCAATAACAGTTTCAAACCTACACATCATAATTTCATCCATTTCACATTGGTTGATTTTTTTCACTTTGAAGTATTTTGACGTTCCTTGAAGAAAAGTAATTTTTGTTAGGTGTTTTTTAATTTTAGATTTTCTTTTGTTTTTCTGATTTCTCAATGTTTATTTTCATTATGGTTTTAAATATTTAGGTTGACAGGGGTCTGCATATGTAATTTTCCTTAATTTTTCATTAATGGCCTTCGTCCGGCCCACGACCTGTCATTATAACAAGATCCGGCCAGCAGGGTCGAATGAGTTGCCGACCCCTACTTTAGGCAGTAGCAGCAAAAACACTGTTATTTTAATAGTCAAGCCTCACATGGAGTCATTAAGAGAACAGATTGGAAAGTATTTTCTAAAACAAATTATCAAACTAACAAATTAAAATTAAACTAAAACGTTTTTTTTTTTTTCTTGCAGGTCGTAATTTGATGTTTGTTGTTATTCGTGATGGCACAGGATTTTTACAATGTGTCATGGCAGATAAATTGGTAAGGACGTTATTTTTTTTTTTTAATCAGTATCAACCCAAGCAAGGCAGTAATGCCACTAAATCACAAGGGGTTACGGTGTGTGGAAGAATTAGGAACAAAAACAATAATGATGAGCAGGAAGAGAAGAGAGTAATCCGGAGGATAGTAGATAGTGATTGACATTGCATTTAAATTTTTGCAGATTGAAGTTGTCTGGAAAGCATGGAGCTGGAAGGAGTTCCACTAGAACCAAGTAGTTGAAAAAAAAAACTAAAGTATGTGATGTAATGAGTTGGTCGGTCAACTTGAAACCCCCAAAGCGAGTGGAGGTGGGCAGGCGCGTGGTAGCTGGCTTGTTGGTGTTTTGCATAGGTGAGTTACCAAGCTCTATATAAAGGGCTGGAATTACCGCGGCTGCTGGCACCAGACTTGCCCTCCGGTTGGTCCTCGTTAACGGATTTGAACGTATTTCCTCTCGAGGCCCCGCGATCGGAATAAGTACACTTAAAAAAAAAAAAAAAATTGTCTTTTTGACTGCCGGGTCGACCATCTTTGAGAAGTAGAGCGTCCGTTTAATCCCGGGGTGCCCACACTGTTCATGTATGCTCATGATCCGCTCAAGGTCCATACTGAGCGCAGAAGCTGTACATGGCAGCTGCAGAGGTTCAGACTCTTTCCGAGCAGCAGCCAACCAACGTTGCGGAACGCGAGTCAATGCATCTGCTCTGTTGACTGCCGATTTAACTAACACTACATCCACAGACAGGTTGTACTCTTTGATAGTTTCAATCAGTGTGGTGAGCCGCCTTCGTATCAACATCTTGCTCGATGCCTTGGTGGCCAGTCGCGCTCTTCCGCTAAGTGCATCTGATATTCAACGCTGAGTGCATGCTGAGTCCGTGACGATGTGTAGCACTGTTGCTTGCTATTGGAGCGCAAGGTTAACCCCTTTCAGAGTGACGTCTAGTTCAGCCAGCTTTATGTGTTGTGCATCATTTTCAGGTCGTAACCAGCAGTCGTCTTCTATGATGGACCTGTTATCCTCAAGGGCAACACCCATGGCCAACGAGCTGGCATCCACCCAAATGGTGAGCTCGTTCCCCTTAACACACCAGTCACCTCACACGGGATCGTCTTGCATCACTCTCTCCATAGTTTCAGTTATCATGCATCTTAGGGTAACGTTGTGCACCTCATCATCCCATCCTGAGGAAACAAGTTACGCGGCGCTTTATGGCTGCTGCCGCCACTCTGAGTCACCTGCATACGGGAAAATGGCCTACCAGTTTCCCACACATGGAGAAAGTACTCCGACAAGTGATCACTGGCGGGACTTCCGGGAGGTCACTACCTCGCCTCCAGTGAAGTTTTTCTCCATCACTACTGACGTGTAGTCCAAGTACATTCGCTCCATCCTGTAGCAGCTCTGGGGCCTTGCACCCCAAGCCAAAGCGCTCCAGATGTTTCTTAACCCTCGTTGAAGAGGCCATGTTTTCATTGATTTAAACATTGTCAATATAGGATGACGCTATTTTGAATTTCCTCATCCTGTGACATGACCACATTCATAATCGCTGACATGATTTTTGAGCCACATTAGGACCAAATCCCAATCGAGTGAGGCAATATCTCTGTCCTTTTACCATGACAGTCTGAAAGGGCCAGAGTGATTGGTGGACTCGGACTTGGAGGTAGGCCCTTCTTAAATTGAGGGTGGCCACATTGCGGTCACCATTCCCACAATTTCTGGGCACAAACGTCCACGTTGGCCGTATATGCATCTATAAAGGTATTCAATTCCCTGTAGTCTATGACTGGTCTCACTTTCCCCTTATTCTCTTGCACTATTGCCATCAACGGAATCAGTCCTCGAGGCAGCCCTAACATTGTGAGCCAATTTTAACATAAACACTTAAGGAAACCTTTTATTTTACGTACATATAATGAATGGGATCTTCAGTTTGAAAAAAAGAAGATATTAGCTTTGATTTTCTACTATGAAGGGAATATTTTTGGCTGAGCCTACGGGCTCAGAGATCCCACATTAAACCCGGCCTTGTGCCACATGTAACCCTCGTGGGAGGGTAGCTAAATAAATATCACTATGAAGTGAATATCCCAATTGAAAAAAATGTATTGATTTTAAACTTTAAATTGACAACTGTTTTTTTAAAATGTTATTGAAAAATTTCAAAGAACATGTTAATTTTAGCTTCCATTGTTTTAAATCAGTTTAAAGCAACAATTATTTCAAAAAAAGTGATTCTTTGATATTAATTACAGACATTAAAAATGTTTTACCTGAATATTTCAGTAGTGATATGCTGGAATATTGTTATGTCGTATGTCTGCTTAGCTCTAGAATTTTGCATTGGGAGAGGAATCACTTAATTTTATATACCTGTTTGCATGACAAAACAAACAAGTAGGTAATGTTGGCTTTTATCTAATAAGTTTATTATTTTAATATATTTATTAGTGTCAAACTTATGATGCCCTTCTGTTATCACGAGAAGCCTCTATATGTGTGTATGGAGAAATCAAAGAGCTTCCTGAAGGTAAAACTGTAAGTATATCTCTTTTTTATATATTTATTAGTAGTACAAAGTGAGTACTGGTGGCAATGATAAAGCAGTGTTGAATGTCAAATAACAGAGCTAAAATTTATATTAACAATATAAACATACATTTTTTTCCTTACTGTTTGGTACATCACTAAGTTTCATGTGTGTGGCAATCGTCAGGCACGGATTTAAAAATGACCATTATAAAATTTAAATATTAATATTTATAACCTAATGGATGCATATTCTTATACATTTGCATATGTGAATTATAATTGTGTGTATATGGGTATTATATTAAAAATATGTATAAGATGTTCATAAATTGCATTATATTTATAGCATGTATTAGAGAGTGTATGTATGTGTGTGTATAGATATACATATATTTGTGTGTAGATATATACGCATATATATATATATATATATATATATATATATATATATATATATATGGGTGTGCGTGTATATATATATATATAACATTATGAAATGGACAAAGTCCGACAATTAGTTTTAAGACATTTTTATGTTTATACATTCTTTTTATCGATACAAATATTTATTATAAACAGAGCATTTACTTAGATATTTGTATCTATAAAAAGAATGTATAAACATAAAAATGTCTTTAAAATATGTATGTATGTATGTGTGTGTTTATATATAGAAAAGTATATATGTGAGTGTGTGTGTGTGTGTGTATATATATATATATATATATATATATATATATATATATATATATATATAACCTCATCTACATGTAAAAAAATATTGAAAATAATGGAAGCCTTCATAATAAAAAAGAAAAAGCAAACACTCCATAATATTAACTACAAACACAGCCACAATGTGCTGACTGTGTTTGAAAAATAAAACATCCCTATAACTAAATTGTCCTTCCCTTCACAGTGCAAGTTTGTTTGAAGCTGATCAATCTGTCTGCAACAATCTGCAGACAGTTTGTCAGGATCTTGGTCAGAATCTTCAGGTCTATATAGAGGAGGGCTATGGGTTGGAAGTTGTCCACCACGTTCCTGTCATAGTTACTTCCTTCGCAACAAAGTGATCTGTGGGGAATAAAAAGAAAACAGCAACCAGCGAGTAAATTCAAGCTCTCCCAGCTGGTATTCCAACCTCAAGTTGTTCCTTCTTGAGTTCTGTCTCAAAATCACACTAACAAACTTTTCTAGCCGCCAACCATGAACGTCACTCAAAGCACCCCCGCACTGGGAAAAATTAGTTGCTTTTATATTTGTCCATATACCCATAATCCCTTGTGTCTTCATGCGATCCCATAATTCATTGCATCCCTGTCCTATAATGCATTGCATCTTTATTGCATAAAAATGCAATGCAAGTTCCCCCTCATTCTTTTACGTTATCTGGCTGAGGACAGATTACGACAGAGTGGTAAGTGCTTTTTTCTCCCTCATTTCAACTGCATTAGCTTTACATGCTAAGAAAATACGGGCTCTTTTTTGGTGGGGACAAGGCAAGTTGCAACCAGTTGTGCTTGTCCCAGGTTCTGTCTCATCATGTCTGCCACATGATCATGCCCCTAGTTATCTTTTGGGAATGTTTCCCTAGTTAAATCAGTTGTTGAACATCATTGCAAAAAAGATAAACAAGCATGTGTGGCGTTTTCTTAACAGGGGATGCTGTCAAGCCATTCTATTTGGGGAAATCAGTTAAATATTCTTTGAAAGATATTTCCTGCAGTTCAGGCTCCATGGCAAAAAGGCTTTCAAAGGACTCTTTGAACCCACTGCAGATACTAGTCAATGATTGTAACAGCTGTCCGTCAGGGGTGGTGATTTCCTAAATGCAACTGCTTGCTTCTCGTTGGAGCTATTCTCTGCATAGTTCCAGGCCAATATTCACTGCTCCAGACGACATCTTTTACAGTCTGGCTTTGACCACACAATCCTGATATTATGCACTGCTTGAACGTTGTAGGTCCTCTCTGGCCAGTTCTGTGGCGAGATAGTCTCCTTCTGTCACTGCCCATGAACTGTCATGTAGGGCTTCTTCATTTTGTTACGTTTCCATAGCAAACTTATTATCCACTTCCTTCTCCACTATACACTTGAACAGATAAAGAGAGTGAAGAGCTGATTTCCGGTGTGCTTCACAGTCCTTCTCTAGCACACTTCCCTCCACCACACCCTGTCCTGGGTATGACTATAAACTACATATGCGTCTTGAGTAAGATGATAAACTACATCTGACAGCAAGGCTTCTGTTCAGGAGGTTTTGAGGAACATGGAACCACCTCTTGCTGGTGTTCCCAGGTCCACTGTGACCCGGAATGGTAGCACCTGTTAGGGTCCCAACTATGGGCAAATAGTTAATCCCTAAACTGGGGTCAAACACTATGAAAGTGTAAAGTAGGTTTTAATACCAGCAATAAATTTTTTGAGGTAAAATTATTACAAGCAATACATTTTTGAAGAAAATAAATACATTTTTGAAAAAAAATAAATATTACTAGCAATACATTTTTGTAAATAATTATTATCAGCAATACCTTTTGAAAAAGAAATATTACCAGCAATGCATTTTTTTTTTTAAGGTAAAAATATTACCAGCAATAAAAATCTTGTTGGTATTAAATAACTCATTGCGGCTGATATACTGAGAAACATTTCTTGGTGAAGAATAGAAATGCTTTGTAATTCTTGGTCCTCCATCTGCTTTCTTGAATTGTGGTTAGCTTTTCCAACTGCCCATTCTTTGGGAAGAAAGCTGCTGTTCCTTTTCAATCTATGCCAGGACACCATAAATGCTAACTTTTATGTGCCAACGATCCTGATATTTTTGGACAAATTTTATGCCCTTGAATGTGTAAGATTGTGCATGCAAGCTTTACACTCTCCTCAGTTCTGCCTAAGAGTAAGTCTCAAGTGGTATAGCTCCACCTATACAGATATTTAATGTCCACCTTTAGGATGGATAACACTTCCTCCACTGTTCTCTGGGTAATGTTGGACAGCTTTCCACTTCTGGTGTCTGTTGCCACCAGAGATATGGTCCTTTAATCTTTAAACTTCTAGGGAACCCAGGTATGCAAGGATTTCATCCTCCTTCACATAATCCATATATTTTTGGGCACCTTTCAACAGTTCATCAATTGACTCATGTCCCCACTGCTGTTTCTGTAAAGACACTGTCTCTTTGGGAGACAGTTCAATTACACCTGGTTGATCTTTGGAATATTTGTTAGGGGCAAGTGTTCACCATTGTTCCATAGGGGAGGACAGATTCTCTCTCTCTCTCTCTCTCTTGATTGTATGCAGAAAGCTCACTCTTCTCATTTGGTTCATTGAATGGAAGCTAGAAACTCTTGCTTCGTGCTTGGCGTTGATTGGTGAGAGGGAGGGGGTGTCCTGGTTTGCCACCCCTCCCAGCTACAGCAAATTGCTTTCTCTGTCTGGTATAATCCTCTTGCCAGTTATATTCACTGAACCTGAACTCAAAGATCAGCCTTACCAGAACAGATACTACACTTTGATGTAATCCTAAGGCTGTGAATTGATGGCAACTGTAATAATGTGCCATTTTTCAAATGCATAGTATCTAATGGCAGAAACCAAGTAATGCAATCACCAAAAATCCAGTTACCATAGATAAATTAATGTTGGCTGAAATATTTTTAAAATTATTATTAAGAGAAATGTTTATAAGACACAGATTTAGCTAGAAAGAAATAAGGGAAGATAGAAGTGTTTAACACGTGTTTCAGTGAAATGGAAAAAAGTTGTCAATTTTAAGTCTTTTCATTTCTTCCTTCTTACTTAAAATGACGACAAGCGTTCATATTTATGATTGTTCTTTCAATATTTTGTTAAAGTTGTTATGTTCAAATATTTAACAATGTGATAGGGAAATTTTATTGTTATAGAACTTGCCATGAGCTTATTCAATCATTAACTGAAGAATTATCAGGAAAACTGAAGTTTTCACGAGTCTTTCTAGTAAAATTAATTGCAGAATACAAACTTGCATTATTCTTGCTTGTTGACTATTATTTTATGTAAATTTAACTTGTTTTCCCCCTTTTTTTTATTTCATTTTTATAGGCACCTGATAATCATGAATTGGTTGTGGATTACTGGGAAGTGGTTGGTCACTCTCCTGCTGGGGGTGCAGACAATTTATTGAACGAGGTAAAAATATTTTAAAAAAATATTCTGACTAATTTTCTGTTAAGCAACTTTAAAACTTTCCTAAAACACAATCCTATTGAACTTCCATGACTCTTGTGGGCATTTTACTTCTTTAGAATTGTAATCTTTCAAATACGTGTAACAATGTTCATTCTTTGTACAGTTTGGAAGATAAAAGTGCAAGTTTTGCTGTTCTATGTCACTATTTGTGTATCTTAGTGAACAAGAAATGTTACTAAAAGAAACATAAAAAGTGGGGGCTAACTAGTTATCCCTCCTTGCTCGTCTGAGTTCAATTGAGGCAAAACTTATAAGTATGTGCGCAACAACTAAAAAAAGTGGGAAGGAAAAAAAGTTACTACCAATATAAATATAAATTACATCTAGAACTGACTAGCATTCCTTCTGCTTACAGAGAGAAGATTTCTCTGACTTAATATACAGGGTCTCAAGTGCTCTCAAATGGTAATCCGAATGGACTCTGCTAATTACCATGAAAAATCCTCTGGTAAAGCACTAGGCACAAATCAGATTATTTATTAGGTGTTCTGCAATCACAGAACCAGAATTATTAAAAAGTGTATACAAATTTTTTTAGTGCCCTTTACTGATCTTAGTTAGTAAGTACTGATGAATCATCTCTTCCAACCTCTGATTAGTTCTGCCAATATATTCAGCATCACATTATCATTTGAAATCATAAATCACTGAAGTAACATGATGGGAGTACAAAATATCTTCACAAATGAATTTCAACTACTATTTTACTTTTACTTTTTTTTTTAAACTGTTTCTAGTCATAAAAAATAGGTTTAGAGGTTTTCCCCTCTATATGCATTGTTTTTTTTTTTGTTTTTTTTTACCTTCATTCTCTTTGTTTTTCTTCAGGAAGCTCATGTTGATGTCCAATTAGACAACAGGCACATGCTTATCAGAGGAGAAAATGTAAGATTTTAATTACTCAGTTAATTAAATAAATTGGAATATTAATTTAAAAAGATTGCTTTCTTTAAGCTTTTGGTAAAAGAAAAAAAAATATCTGTTAACCCCTGCCACCTCAAGTTAAGTCAAGATCCAGAACTTTGGTTATACTGCCACAGGTTTCCCAGTGACTCCTTCTTTCCAAGCATCCTTGTCAGGCAGGCTAATGTGAGCAAAGCCACACTCCTGCACATCCCTCCCAATGCAGTTCTTTCAAATCTTACTAGGTCTACCTCGACTTCTGTGACCAGGAACTCCAAGACAGTTCTGATGCATGACAAAGCTCGTTGGGCATGACCAAACCATCTAAGATGGTGGGTGTGAAGCACTGATGTTATATCCTCAATATCAAGCTTTGTTAACAACTCAGATTTGAGGGTTTCATACTGAGGCTTGGTGGCACAGATCCAATGAATCACTGAGCAGTCATTGTGTCAGAGCTGTCGCAAGACCGATGTACTTGGTGCGCAAGTCTCACTGCTGTGGAGAGTGCAGATTATACACACACACAGAGAACAATTTGCCATGAGTTCTCAAGGACATGTGTTTGGATATGAGAATGAGTAGGACCTTTTTTTTTTTTTATATTGGCCATTAACTCTACTCCAAATATTACAGTACATACTCTGGACCACACAAATAGCCCAATCCTCAACTCCAAAGCTTTTCATGGCTCTGCAGATCACTTTTCTTGGAACATGATCAAATGCTTTCACCAGATCCACAAAAGCCAAGAAGAGAGGTTGACAGTGACTAACACGTCATCAGCATAGGCTTTTCATGGCTCAGCAGATCACCTTTCTTGGAACATGATCAAATGCCTTCTCCATATCCAGAAAGGCAGAGGTTTCATAGCAGTGATGAATTTATCCTGCAAGTGAGACAATGAAAACCATACTGCATTTCATCAATGTTACAAAACCATACTGCATTTCATCAATGTTGACCATTTGTCTGATCTAGGAGTCAAGTACATGTTCCAGTAGTTTCATCACCTGATCAGTGAGCTTGAGGCCTCTGTCGTTGCCTCTGTCCATGACGTCACCTTTGCTCTTGTAGAGGTTGAGAATAAAGCTCTCCTCCCACTCACTTAGGATCACATCACTACTGAAAAATGATTCCTTTAGTAACCTAAGCATTTCAATGCCTTTATCACAAGATGCTTTCAGCAGTGACACCAGATAAGCCAGCTGCCTTTTCACACCTCATCTTCTTGACCCCTTTGCCAATCAGTGCTGATGTTACAAATAGAAATGGAGGAGGACCTGCAACCTCGAGGAACATATCACTAGGCCAGTTGAATTCAACACTTAGCAACCTGCTATAATGTTCAACACATGGCCATCACTGAGTGATAGTTCTCCAACATCATTCCAAACACATTTCTCACCAATGACATCCTGGTTGATTCTGACTATTTGTTTTGCAAGACGGAAGACCTCGTCACTGTGAGGTGATGTATCAGCGAAAGTCTTCTTCTTGGCCTCTGACTTGGCAAGCCATACAACTCATCTGTCAATATGCTTGGCCTTGTTGTTGGCTGCCTTCACTTTAGTGATAAAACCCTGCCTCTTGAGAGCCTTGTAGGTCCTGTACTGTGACCTTTTCTTAGTGACAGCATCATCAACTTGGCCATTCCACCACCAGGTCTCCTGTTTCCACTGATGGTTCTTGGAAGTTCCATCCCATTAGCTACCTCTAGGTGTCTTCATCTTAGACCAGATCTCTTTCACATTTGGTACAGCATCAATGTCAGTCTACAAGGCCTCCAATTTAGCATCGTAGGCTGTTTGGAACTCCCAAGAATGAGATAAAGCCTCCAGATTCAAATGTGTGGTTTGAACTTGTTTTTTTTTTAGTTTTAGTATGGAAATTTTACAGTCATAAACTAGTAGGTGATGTTGCAATATGCACTCCTCACCAGGTATAACTTTGACATCCAAGACCAACTTGGTGAAGCTTTTGCAATATAGGATATAGTCAATCTTTGATTTATGACCACAGAACTGAAGGTGAATTCCACAAGAAAAACCCCCCAAAAAACTGGTAAACTCTGTCAAATGTCTGACACATTTTTCTGAATACCCCAAGGTCTTTAGCTTAATCTTAATACTTATTATCTATTGATGCATTTGTCGAATCAGCTGTCTGAGGTCACTGTGAGGCTGATACAGTCATTTATGAGCAGCTTTCTTAAAATCAAATTGTAGTGGCTCCTGAGCTCATCTTTCGCTCATGTTGTTCTTTTTTTCAGTAACATTCATGATTGGCTTATTTTTTATGTTATTTTATATTTTCTGAGGGATTTGTTTAATGAGCTGGATATGATGCAATATATCCCCTGAACAGAAAATGATTTTCATTTTGTTTTTTTTTTTTGTTTTTTTTTTAGCTTTCACATCCAGCTAACATGTAGAGTGAATCAGAAAAAGATCTAATTTGAAGCAGAGTATAACATCTATGAAGCCTTGTTCTAACAGCATATACATGTCATATCCAAGGGGATACTGAAAAGTTGTCAGCTCAACTCACTTTCCAAAATTAGCATTCTAATGTTTGGTTATTGAAATACTGATTTTTGGGAAGTGAGTAGAGCTGAGAATATTTTTTCACCCTGTCCAAGGGGATATAATGTAACAATACATATAAATTATTGTAGCATTGCACCTAGGTTTTAAATTCTTGGGTGATCACTTCTTGGGTGATCACTATGGCCTAATGCAGAAAAAGTGGCATGATTGAAAAGTGACACCCATTAACAAAAGGTCACAGACAATTTAAAACAGCTGAAGGAATTATACTGGTTTATTCCTGTGGTTCAACAGCAAAATGGGGTCTCTGCTAGAAATGTGGGAAATTAAGTGTTTCAAATAGGGCTTAAATGAAGCCTTTTAGTGATCACCAGGGTGAGCTATCAAAACAATTCCTCTTTATGAAGATTGATCTTCTCCCTCCTATGAGCTTGATTAAGAAAAGTCATAAATCACAACTCCCAGCCCATACTCAACCCAGACTAAACTATTAGTGATACTAAAGAGTGTCACCCCTAATTTGAGTTCTGATGACCAATTAAAGAGTTATTCTACTCTCAGCTTATTTAATGCATAATTTGTAATGTATTTGTTGACAAAAGTGTTTTAAAAATTCCATTACTGAAGGCAATGTCTCTTTGATCAAAGTATTTTAGCCAGCTGTATTGACATTGATTGGAATTATTTCAGCTAAATGTGGTTATTTGTTAAAAAAAAGCATGAACCATCTATTTTAATAATAAAATTAAATGCTGTTTCAGGCAGCAAGATCTTCAATTTTTTTCTGTTTTCTGTACTTATTAAAATTCGCACAACCACAAAGTTAAGACAGTGTTTGGTTTACCAAATATATGTGTATGTCCTTTGTGATACCTGCTATATTTACTTTTATTTAAAACTTTAAGAACAAAAAATAAATAAAGACATCCTGGAGAAGTCAGAAGAACTTAAATGAAGGCTTTATTTTCTAGAAAGAGAACACGCTGTGTAGCAATTTGTTACATGCTTTCTCTTTGAACCTGAAAAGGAAAAGCTGTTGGATGTTACAAAAAGCTGTTTTTATTCACAAATCTAGCAAATCATGTTCAAGAGTGTGTTTTTACCAACATGTCAGGCAAGCATATTTTTCTCAGGGTGACTACCTCAGAAATGCCCCCAAGTACAGACTAGGGTTTCACTGACAGATGGTTAAGGGTCATATATCATGAAAGTGTATTGGTGGTATCCTATTGGTTCACACAGGTTCTTAAAATTATAAGAGCTTAGCAAACTGGTTGTTGAATTATCTGAAAATAATTTTATATAATAATAGCCGATGGTCTAGGTAAAATGTTGGTTATGCTATGCTGGTGCACATGCCTAGTGAAACTCTAATAGACTCACACTCCCCTATCATTTTGAAGTTAAAAATGTGGCAGATCCTCTAGTCATAGGTTTTCCATTGGATCTTTGGGACTGCAACAATTCAGTTTGAATGTGGCTAAGAAACCATATCACAACTGATGACACTAGAATAAAAAAAAATCATACTTCTGAACAGAAATATGATAACAGAATTTCAATCTGGAAATATCTTAATAAATAAATGTTTACTATTAAATTATCAAAATGGTTTGTATTCTTTTTGACACTATAAAGTGATTTGTTTCCATTCTTGGGACAAAAAGAAAATAAGCAGAATAGGTTTCTAAAGATTACCTTCCTTTTATAGAATTGGTTCCTAGACATTCTGGAACACTGCAGAAGAGGAAGGAAAGTTAACTCAAGAATAGTATTCATATAAAACAACATACAGTTTATGTGCAAGTTAAATATTGAAGCCAAAATATTATAAATGCAATAAGTGTGCAGTTTATCTACAAGTCTATTTGGTATTTAAAAGATAATGACTGCTTCATTTGTGAAATTAAGACATCTTCAGAACATCACTTTTTTCTTTTCTTTATATATATAAATATAGGCATCCCGGGTATTGAAAATGAGATCAGTTGTGACACAGTGTTTCAGAGAGCATTATTTTGCTGAAGGTTATTATGAAGTAAGTATTTGTTGTTATATTTAATATATGA